CATCCCTTTCCCCCACTTTGTTTTTAGTTGAGATGCTCTACACTAAGACAAACTTGGTGACACTATGGGGTAGAAAGCAAAATTTGCAAAAAACAAACCAAAATAATAATAATAAAAAAAGCTCTCCATCTCCATCAACTCCCGTCTTCCCTTCCATTGCTCAGATCAGAACCCCAGGAGACACTCGCTGCTCCCTGCTTTCCTCACACCGCTCAGGCAGCGTCATCAGCAGGTCCTGGCTGCTCTACTTTTAAAATGCATTCAGGACTGGACCATTTCTCTCCTCCCAAACGGCTCCCACTGGGGCCAGACCACCCCTCTGCGGAATCACAGCTGTCACCTTCTTAACTGGTCTCCCAGCTCCTGCTCGCTGGTTCTGTTTCCAAACCAGCAGCCAGAATGACTCTTTTAATGTAGTATAATCCTGGCTAACATCATTCCTCTGCTCAAAATCTATCAGGTTTGCTCCTTCATTCAGAAGGAAGCTCAAATCCGCAACCCACCTACAAAGCCCAGGCACTATGTATTGGTTATGCCAATGTCCTGAGGTCTCCAGTTTCTCTCTGATGACCTTCCTCTTGCTCCTCCCTTCCAGCCCCAGTTCTCTAAGCCCGCAAAACTCTTAAGTAAGACCCTTCTTTCCCATGCCTTAGTTGGAATATCACGTTCTCACAGTTCTGACGGCTTCTCCTACCCCACCCCCCGGGACACCCCAGGCCCCTTTCCTGACTTGGTTTTCTCCATGGCACTTACTATCACCTAACAGAGCGTTTCCAGAGATTGCTAAAATGCTGGTTCTGATTCAGTAGGTCTGGGGCGGGGCTTGAGATGCTGCATTTTTAATGTCGTCCCAGGTGACCCTGATGCTGCATCTAAGATACAATTTCATTGAAAAATTTGGTCTATTTTCCATCTTATCACACTTGAAATTCCTCACCAAGCAGATTCCTTAATTCGCTGCTATCTCATCATCATATCAAATTGTGCTTGACGTAAACACCTAATACACACTTGCTGATTGAAGACAGGCACGAAGAAGGGCCCTGGGCTCTCTCCACACTTCATCTCCACAGGTCCAGGTCCCCTGGGAAGCCTGGATCCAAGTAGTCCCACCTGCCTCAGCCCTCCTTCCCACCCCGCCTCCCCCTGTTTGTCCCATAAGCCATCATCCCTCCCAGCTAGCGCCCCAAATACCACCAGCCAAACAGTGGCACCAAAGAGCAACACGTTTGGTTCCCCTCTTACCTGGAATCACCACCACGCACTAGTTTACTGAAATTTCCACCAGCAGATGGAACCCTCGCTTCCTCAAGCCTGCAAGTCTTTGGGGTTGTGTAAGCAGAGGTCCCGTGGACCCACAGAGAACAGGTTCACCTGCCTAGAATCTTAAAAGGAAGGAACGAAGGAGCCATAGCACGGGTGGAAGTTTAACTCAGCTCCAGGAGAAGAGTCCCAATTTCTTTGCAGCTCAAACTGCTCCGCCAGGCCCTTGGGAGCCAGAGAGCTAGAAAGCAGGAAGCCACACCTCTTCCTTTGTCTCCGGCTTTTGGGTTTTAGAACCTCACCATCTCATAGCTCCAGGCTCTCAGGAGAAAGAAATCCAATCACAGTTTTTCAGGAGCTTTGGGACACTTAAGCTCATCCCCTTGGGATACAGTCTAATAAACTGTATTATCATTTCCTGTTAAAAGAGTTTGGTTTGAAATATTTTAAAAATAAAACACACCATTCTCAAATTGTAAAATATAGCACACATGCAGAAATGTGCACGAAACTGAAATCTACAGCACAATGATTTATCACAAAGGAAATGTCTACCAAACCACTGTTTAGGTTGGTAAATAAAACACTGCCACACTCCTTTCCTTCCTAATCTTGTTTTTTTTGGGGGGGGGTAATTAGGTTTACTTTTTTAATTTTTAATTTTTAATTTTATTTTTTGTGGAGGTGCTGGGGATTGAACAAGGACCTTGTGAATGCTAAGCACGTGCTCTACCACTGAGCTACACACTCCCCCATTTCCTTCCTAATCTTAATTCCCCAACTCGTCCCTAGGTGGCACGATTTTTATGGTAATCTCATCTTTGCTCTTTACAGCTTATCACTTAAGTATAAATCTCAAAAGATAATCATTTTTCCTGTTTTTTTTTTGTTTGTTTGGTTGAACTTTATATAAATGGAACCATAGAGATACACTGGGGCATGCACCCTCATATCTTGGCTTCTGCTGCCCCACCCTTCCACTGCTTTCCCGTGCTTCCCCTCTGGCATTCTAGATTTGAGGACAGCTTACAAAGCTCTAAAACAGTGCACCTCAGCCTGTGGAGTTTGGCTGTTTTTATTATGTTGATATTATTATGTTGATTTGTGCTGTGCCAAGAACTTCACATATATTTTCCCATTTCATCCTCAAAATAGCCCTCCGAGGGTAATTGTTTTAATTCCACATTACAGATGAGAAAACTGAGACTCAGATTAAGAAACTTGCCTAAAATCACATAGTATATAGTTTTTGCTGCATTATAAACATCCCCAAAACTTAGGATTTAAAAGAGCAAACATTTATTTCTCACAATTTTGTGAGTTGGCTGGGCTGGCTCAGTGGGGGCTGGTTGATGGCCAAGGTGCTCTGCATCTGGTGAGGAGGAAGATTAGCTGGGTGACACAGCCACAAGTCTCTCATTATTCAGAAGGCCTTGCACAAGGTGGCTGAGTTCCTAAAGTAGTGGGAGGGCAAGCACAGACACTTTCCAAATCTAGCTGCATCATATTTGCTGTTCTCCCATTGGCCAAAGCAGGTCACATGGCCAAGCCCAGGCATAGTGGATGGGACACCGGGAGTGGACATAGGAAGGGAGAATTATTACTGCCATTTTCTCCAACAAAGAATCTACCACACGTAGCTTGTTAAGTGCCCAATTCAAAATCAAAATTGTCAGATTTGAAAGTTCAGCTGTCTTGGAGTTACTGCCCAGGGTCTGAGAATCCAGGACACCCCATGATTACCCAGGTCAACAACCTTTTGCCTGCACACCTGCAACTGTTTTGCAAGTGTGTACACATGTTGTTGTCATTCGTAAACACAAATTAGGGTTTTACATGTGTGTCCTGCTTTATTGCTTGTTTTCTTCTTTAGAGACTCCAAGTACATTTGGATCTCCTTTGTTCATCTTTCATCACCTTCTTGCAAGGTGTCAATTTTTTTTACTTTTGCTGGATTATTGTCACTGCTTTCCTTTCTACTCTTTATTTCCGTGTTCTTTCTATGGTGTCTGTATTCTCTTGTATTCCTTTAAAATATTACTTTTGAAATGACTCTTTTTTTCTTTTACTAATTTTTTCCTATGTCTGTCAAGGTCATTGTTTAGTAACCATGTCTGGCTCCAATTTGATGCTCAACGAATATTTTTGACTGAAAAATATGATTACTTCTTCTTTACTGCATTATACTTTATTTTTCTTGGAGTTATTGTCTTTTTCAATTGTACAGTTGCCTGGCCGTTTTATTTTAGCCTCAGAGAAATGGTAGGGACAGAAACCAGATTAAAATAGATGGGGGCAAGAATAAGTGGTGGGAAAGTGTAGACAAGCAGGTGTAGACAAGCTTGATGTGAAAGAGAAAAGAGACAGCTGAAAGAGGATGTACAGTGGCAAAGGAGTTTTTGTTATTTTGTTTTTTTGAAGAAGGGAAATAGAAGCTTGTTTGCATATAATAAAATAACCCAGGAAAGGAGGAGAGAGTCAAGGTGCAGGAAAGAGATGAAGTCCTTGAGAAGGTAAATGGGCGTAGGACTCAATGCATGAGGGAGGGGTTTGTCTTTAGTAAGAGCTGGGACACTGTTATTGCACCAGGAGGGAAGACAGAGAACAGCCTACTTGAGGGAAGCCCGTAGACCTAGTGGTAGGGCAATGAGTAAGCCCCCCCTGATGGCTTCTGTTTTTCTCACTAGAGTGTGAGGTGAGGTCATCAGCTGAGAGAAAGGAGGCACCAGGGAGGGGAAGGTTTGAGGAGAGAGGGGAGAATATAAAAGACATCTCTGAGAGTGGGAAATTTCCTAAGGAAACCTGAGGGATTGGAGGTTTGTGGTCATAGTTTAAAATAAAATGGGTCACCTACCCTCTCCCTGTCCTTCCTTTCTTCGCAATTTGGGGCCCACTGAGGTAGGAGGCTAGGCAAGGTGGTGACCCGGAGAGGGGCCAGGGCTGAGAAAGGCAGCCTGGCAAGGGTAGGGAGACCGGGTCCAGCAGGTGGATTTGCGGTGGGGGAGGGAATACATGTAATTAAAGACGATTTGAAAGTTAACATTATAATAAACATGTAAGCACAACATTGTAGAATGCAGAGTTTTCATATCACAGAATCTTGTTGCTATTCAAGGTATTTTAGAGGCCAGTCCTTCTGGTAACATTTGCTAATGAGGAAAATCAAATGACTTCCCCAAACTCAATCAACAACTTGATGGCACAGCTGAGACTAGAATCCTGGGATTCGCATTCCCAGGCCATCACTCTTTCTACAACAAAACGGTGGAGCTCAAATACTTGATATGCTTATCATGAAAGGGGATTATCAGCGCTGGCTTCGGCAGCACAAACACTACAGCTGGAATGATGAGCACGGCCTCCGTGCAAGGATGAAACACAAGCTCATGAAGCATCCCCTATTTTGCCTTTTCCTCCCTGATATCCGTGGGTGAGGAAACTGGGCTTGGTAAGCGAGGTGACTTAACCAACTGAGGCCCTCTCTGGATTCCACCCCCATCCGCAACTCCTCCTCAAAGAAAGGGGGAGGGGATCATCAGAACGAAAACACTAGTCAGGAAAGAATAAGCTAACGGCATTTTATTTCTTATAAATGTCCCAATTTCAACTATTTGGAAAAGTTGTGATCATTCATACATTTCTGTCCTAAAAAGTGGGTTTAAATATGCTTAGTGATTGCTCTTCCAGAAGAAAATCATCATTGAATAGGAACAGATCACTGACACAGAACCAAAAAATTGTAGAAATTATAACTTTATTATATTATAAACATTTCCAGAATATAAACTGATTTTGTATAAGACTCTGAAATGTTCAAAACTGTATGTAACCTAAGCTTATTATATACTCTATTGCATTTTCCACTTTCCAATCTAGAAAATATATTGCAAGTTAGATCTAGCAAAGGAAAAAGAATCTAAATTGCTTCATAAGGAAAACTAATGAATATAAAAATACCCCACCCCAAACTAAAACCCAATGTAGAAACAGATTCTGCAAAGCCTGCCTATCCTCCAATTTCAAATAAATGACCTTCCAAGGGAAAAACACTTCCACCGTCACAGCAATTTGATGAACAAAAGCGAAGCCACTCTCGTTAAGGGGAATTACGTTATGTGTAAAGGCAACGTAGCGCTGATTTTAGAAAATGGGGAACAGCCGTTTCCACGTTGGAGAGCAAGCGTGCTAAATGTTCCCTGCGCACCCTGCCCGCGCACCTGTTCACACGGGAAGCGAGCTGGAACACGGACATAGAACCGAGCCCCTCAGCGATCTTCAGTTTAACCACGGGAGAACCAGTCCAAAAGCTTCAAAACCCAAGGATAGACTGGTCCCAAAGCATCTCCTCCTCTGTCCTTTCTTTGCCTTGTTCCTTCTTCTCTTTCCTACGCTTACGTCCCTCTTTCTTAGAAGCTACATCTCGGCTGTTTTTCTCCTTCCGATTCTTAGGCTTTCCTGAACTGGCTTTGACAGCTTCCAGCTCTGTTTCGTTTCTCTGGATGCTCCTGTGTTTGTCTGAATCTACTTCCTCACAAGCCTTTTTCCTCTTATGCTTGGGCCTCTCCTCCCCTGGTTGTCCTCTGCCTTCCTCTGGGCGCCTTGATCTCTTCCGATGCGTCTGTTCATAACCAGCTTGATGGGCACTGGCTCCGTTTTCTGAGGAGAGGTGCTTGGAAACTCCAGATTCTACACTGTGTGAGCGACAGTTATACTCCTGCTGACTAAGGCTCAGGGGTACTGGGGTTCCTGAGAAACAGTCCCTGGCAGATTGACAGCAGCTCAGGGAGCCCAGACTCCACCTGCTGTCACCAGCTGGTGGCCACTGCGGTAACCGCCTTTCCACTGCGTGCGAGATACCGCGCGGTCTCGGGGAGGCCTGGACGGTCTCATACGGGAGTCTCGGATCAAACATTCTGTACCTGGGTCTGCAATCAACCTCTTCTTTGTACCCACAGGTTTCCAAATAATCCTCTCTCATCTTTCGGAAACAAGTCTTTGGCTCTAAGCCTCTGGCTTTCTGCACTTTGATATAATCGTCAAGTTCATCTTGAAAAGAGTCATATGTCTTCTCTGAATGCTTCATTAGGTTGACAACCAGGGATTCTCTGTAGAGGAGATGGGAGAAAATTCTTCTTACTAGATTATTTTATTCTGAATGTTTGCTTTACTCTTGAAAAGAATTTCAAAAGACAAAATAAAGAAGCCCAAACAAATTAAAACTGACTTTGGCATAAAAGTTAAGCACCGTGATACTACACGCCAAAAAGGAGCATCGCGGGGGTCAAACACTGCCTAGGCCACTCACAAATCATTTTATCCTTCTCAGAAGTAGGATGAAGAAGGCATAAGGGAGCTGATGTATAGAATTATTTTGTAGGGCTAAAAATGTAAGGGATGTAGAAATGTATGGACTTCCACATCCATGGCGAGTGGCCTGGTCTGAATGTTCACATAATTTCTAAAGTTCTGATTAATCAGTTTCTTGTATATTATTTTCTAAGAAAGTTAATGAACCATGGAGGAATGATTTGATCTTTAAAATCTTCTGTATACTCAAACAAAATAAACCAAACATAAAATACTCACCTGACCAGAGTATTGTAAGACTTAATAACAAAAGGACGTTTGTAAAAGGGTTTGGGAATGCTGGAAATGAGAAATTCAGCCGTGAGACAAAACTACTGTGAGGTACAGGGCATGAGGAAAGACGAGGGAACAGAGTTCTGTATCTTCTGCACGGAGCTTGGATTTCATTCTGCTGCTTCTGATTGGTGAAAAAAAACATTCTAGAATTCCTCCTGGTTTGTTCTCTCTCTGTTACAGAAAGTACTGGTGGGAAGGTTAAGGAGGAGATGGAGAAGAGAGCTGAGATGGGGTAGGATTTACGGAGGAAAAAGTTTCAGAAGAAATTTAAACTAGGTATACTAGTCTCTGCTTGTTTAATTTTTTTTTTTTTTGGGTGGGTAGGGGCAGCAACAACTATTTCTCTTTCTTTTCCCACCTCAAATCCTGCAAAGGTACAAATAATAGCAGATAACACACTAACTAGGAGATGATAATGTCCTAGATATTTTTGGTGGTATATTTTATTTAAAAATTAGGATGCAGCATAACCCACGTAGAATCAAAGATTTCTTCCCTTCGACAGGAGCAAGCCTGACAGCAATCTGGAGTCACCACAGATAGCTGTCTTTACTGGCAACTTGAGACAAAACAGAAAGTTTAAATGAAGCCGAATTCAGTGAGTCAGAAAATTTAGCCCCTATTCAACTTAAGCAGTATAAAAATTCTGACTAGAATCAAATAAAGTGACAAATAATTGATTAAATATGGGCAAAATATTTGAACACTTCAGATAAGAATATATACAATAAGCACAAGAAAGACGCTCATTGTCACTAGTCACCAAGTGAGTGTCCATTAAAGCCACACAGAGATACGACCACGCACTCACTAGACTGACTGAAACTAAGGGGACCTGGCAATATCAGTGCTGGCGAGGACGTGAGACACCCAGAATTCTCAGACAGCGCTGCTGAGGATGTGAAATAGTGCAGCCACTTGGAAAACAGCCTGGTGGCTTCTGAGGAAGTTAAACCTGCACCTACCACATGATCCAGTTACTTCACTCCTAGATACTGACCCCAAAGACAAGGAAACGTATGTCCACACAAAGACTTCTACGTGGATGTTCATGGCAGTTTCATTTGGAATAGCCCCAGAAAAGGGAAAAGCAAAAACAAAAACAAATGTTGATCAACAGGTGAACGGATAAATCAAATAGTGGTATATCCAGACCATGGAGTACTATCAGTGATAAAAAGCAATAAAACGGATGAATCTCAAAATAATTATGCTGAATGAAAGAAGCCTGACAAAAGAGTTCATAATGTAGGATTCTCCACACATAAAACTCTAGACAGCGCAAACTAATCTATAGCAATAACGGGTGGTTGGGGACGAGGCAGGAAGCAGTAGAGGGAGCTGTTACACAGGACACTTGCTGGGGTATGGATGTGTTTGCTATCTTAATTGTGGGGATCACTTCATGGGTATACACACTTGTCAAAACCTACCAAACTGTACACTTGGAGCACGCACAGTCTATCGTATGTCAACTATGCCTCAATAAAGCTGTTTTTGAAAAGTCACGAATAAGATTAAAAAGATGTTGATAATGATTAAAACTAGATGATAGGTACAGGGGGTTCATAATACTGTTTCCTCTACCTTTGTGTATAAACATCTTTGATAATGAAAAGATTTTACTTCACACTCACTAGGATGGCTATAATAAAAAAAGACAGGCAATCATAAGTGTTGGCAAAAATGTGGTAAAACTGGAAACTTCATTCATTCGTGGTGGGAATGGAAAATGGTACAGCTACTTTTTAAAACAGTTTGGCAGTTCCTCAAAATGTCAAACATAGAGTTACCACAGAACCCAGAAATTTCACCCCTAGGTATACATCCAAGGGAACTGAAAATCTATGTCCTCACGAAAACTTGTATAAAAATGTTCTCAGCAGCACAACTGTTCCTAACAGTTAAAAGCAGAAACAACTCAGCGTTCATCAACTGATGAATGGATAAATAAAATGTAGCGATTCATACAATGGAATATTATTCAGCAATAAAAAGGAATGAAGTATTGATAAATGGTACAACATGGATGAAACTTGAAGACATGCTGAGTGAAAGAAGCCAGTCCCCAAAGACCACAGATGGTGCAGACAGAGATCAATGAAGAGATGAATGGAACCTTACCCTCATCAGAACTTGGTGGAGAAATCTGATCATATTCACCCTTTAATTGCTTCAGTTTTTCAGCATGAACTTTCCCCAAGTAGTGAGACTGTGTAACAACTGAGGAGCTAAAAACAATGATGCAGAGATTACAAAATCTATTTTTGTCCAATACTCTATTCCCATTCACCTGAAACTAAGCACAATTTTGTTATGACGATTAAATAATTCAAAGTTTAGAATTGGATCAACATCGATCAGTCATCTGAAAACTCACAAAATCTGCCTTCAACTTCTTATTTTGCTTCCTGTAAATCTGAAAGTAAACTTTTAAAGTATGTGTATTTTACCCTTGAAAAATAAGTAGTATTGTTTATTTTAGAAAAACAGTGATCTGAAATTTACACCTCTGACTTTGAAGATAGCATTCATGAGTTTAAATATATTTAGTCTGAACTAAGAATTGTAAACTTTCACTTGCTTTTCAAGCTTCAGTATACATAATGCTAACAAATTAGAAGCCTTTTATTTTCCACCTACCTCATAACGTGAAATCCACTGTGATTCAAACTATGGCATTACTCCTTACAAGCCTTTTACAAAACGTATTCAGTCTTTGTTCAGTGTGGTATCTATGAATAAAATAAAGGGAGACAAGACATTTAAGGTTCTATTTTCAATCTTCAACTGGATATTATTTCATATACCATCTCAAATCTTAATTTCCTGAGTGCTTGCAAGGCTAACGTACTAATTTTTGCTCATTAGAATGGCAATTTCAGTATGAAAACATTTAATAAGCCTCTAATATTTAATCTGGTAATATATTTTTTAGTCCAGAAAATACCGTTCTGAAGATGTTACTGGGGCACCAGTAAGACTCTGAACTTCATGGAAATGATCTGGGGCATCCAGCCTTGGTATTTTGTGTTTTATAGCAGACATATTACTGACTTCTACTGAGCTTTATAATTGCTAAAACCCCAGATGTAGCATCTCTCTCCATATTGGCTGTCTTCTCCCATCCGGTACTTTATGTAATTGGTTTATTTTTCTAAACGCATGACTTTATACTTCATTTTAGGTTTAGGCCACCATTCCTATCTATGAGGATCTTTAAAATTCAAATTCTTTTAAATCTTGACCTTTGCTACGTTTCCCACAGAGTTTTTATATGCATTCAGTCTATGTCTTCATCCATGTTACTGGCGAAAACTTTAAGTAGGAAGAGAGCAAGGTAACACCTATGGCATGCTACAAAGAATCGACCCTTTTTTTTTCCATCTAGGATTGATCTATTCATTCCCAGTAAGAAAGACATTAAGAATTTCATGGAATCTGTTTATTCCAAAATTAAATTCAGCATCTTTTTGAATACTCTATGCTTCTCCACTCTGCTCCCTACTACCCTCCTTCTTAGGGGTCTGATTATTCAAATCTATTTATACTACATTGAAGCCTTACTTTCCCATTTTATTGAGATTTGAAAAATAGATGACATGTCTTCCTAAATTGCAATTATTCTTTCTACAGGAATGTTGCTCAGTCTCAATCATTTTGACCAAAGCATTCTATCTAAACGGACAAGTGAACTCTTATCGCTTGGAGGTCTAGGGAGCATACAGCTTAGAGACCAATCACAAAAAAATGGATTTCAAGTTTCATGTTTTACCTTAAAAACATGAACTTCTTGAACTCTAACCTTAAAAAATCCATTTTATATTAAAGTTTTTAATTTAATCTTTAAATAAAAAGTATCATTTGAACTTCAAGTACCTCCTAGCACACTGCTGAATACCCCCAAATCATGCAGCTTTATTTGTAACAGCCAAAAACTGACGCAACCCTAATGTCTATCAACAGGGGAATGGGTTAAAAAAAGTGGTATATCCATACAATAGAATTATTCAGCCATAAAAAGGAACAAAATAGCAGTACATACAACATGGATGAATCACAAAATCATCATGCTGAGTGAAAAACACAAGAGTACCTACTATGATTCTACTTATAAAAAGTTCTAGAAATGCAAATTACAGTGATAGAAAGCAGATTAGTGGTTGCTGGGGACAGGCCTGGAGGGAGAGGTGGATTGCGAAGGGAGATGAGGAAACTGTTGGGGTTGGTGGAAATATTTGGCATTTTGCTTCTGATTGTGGTTTCATGGGAGGACATGTCTGTCAAAAGCTCACTGAATTGTACACTTTAAGTAGATGCCATTTATGGTAAGTGTACCTCAGAGTGTACTAGAGGGGCTGAAAGATCTGCAATGAATATTTGGAAAAATTCTACCTTCACTTGTTAAACTGGATTTTTAAATGTTTGCTTTGTTTCCAGGGGGATCATTCACCTAACAAAGGTCAAGCCACCTGTGCAGAACTACTGGTTGTCATTTTACGTTAACTACCTCACTGCTTCTTGGAGTGAGACCCAGGGACTCTGGAGTCAGTTCTGACGCTTACTAGTTGTGTTAGCTCGGTCAGGTTTCTCAACCTCTCTGTGCCTTAGGTTCCTCATCTCTAAAATGGGATGTAACAGACATCTGAGTTGTTGTGAGTCTTAAAGAAATTAAAGTATTTAGAAAAGTGCACGGCACATAGTATTACTGAGCTATTTTTATTATTATTCAGGATTTTTTTCTATTTAACTGATAGAATGAAATGTTCTTCCAGCCAGTTATTCCAGTAACTATAGAAAGCCAAAAAGAGAAAAGGTGATGTGTAAATAGAGCAAGAGCGCCTGACAGGAATACCTAATTCCTTGTATTTCAAGCTATTCAGAGGGACTTTTTTGTAATGAAAACTGAAAGTTCGAACTGATCCTTATCTTTTGATTGCTCTGATTTTAAACCAATTCTGAAGATTTCAGTTTATGTCCTGTGCTAATGTCTGCTACGTATACTTTAATATCCAAGGGTATGGGATATCAAGCAGAAACACCCAGGCTATTTACAGGCTGGTATTAGGTCTTAAGCAAGAAGTAGTCTGTCCTGACTGAACGTACTGAAGGTATAGTGGAAAGATAAAGAACATGGAGCCCTTTATTTTGGAGAAATGAAACTATGCACATTGTTATTCAACAGCTGTACAAGGCTTGGTCGTCTTTATTTCAGTGTAGTATGCAAAACCGTTACAAAAGCTAAGGTAGTAAACACAGCACATCAACTACTGAGTTAAACAGGAGACACATTAATAGTATGAATTGCTCATACTCCAAAATTGTTTAAAAAGAGCTTCATATCTTAACAAAGTACCAAGAAACACTCTACTTTTCCTAATTCTAGACCTGTCCGGGAGAATTTGGTATATTCCAATCACCCTTTTAGAAATTGAAAAAACTGAATCTAACTTTTGCACTGTATGAAATACATGTTTAATACACCTTACCCGGTTTAACAGGTTTGATGAGTAAATCAATTCAATTTAATAAAATTTTTCATTCTCACAGCACATTGTGTTGTGACATGGTATTTAAACACAATACAGCATAAAGGTTTTTAAAATATGGTTAGCTCAAGGATCTTGCTTGTGAAATTAATTTTACTTGGACCCAGGGCAGACACCCTACATCAGAATGCTATCAAATACATGCCATTCCTTCTAAAAGGTCAGTAAATGTGAATGGGTCTGTAAGAATGCTCATGTTCTAACATATATCTGATGGACATAGTAGGGGCGATCTTAAGTCATTTTAACATGCTTAGTCAATATTTTCACATATTAACACCTAAAAAAGCCAGTGGATCTGAAACTAAAATAATCATTAATGTTTCACCAGACATCCTCCTCCCCAACCACTCTTCCCAGCTGCCAACATTAGATTTACAACATAATGTGCTCTTGCGAGCCTGTAGTAAACATGTTGTTGGCAGGGCACAGATTTATACAGAACAATGAACTACTCCTGGTATCAGGTTCTGGTTAGCCCATACTTAAAACTGCATTTTCTCCACTTACTCTGGCCTCGGCCCCTCCACCCTGCTCCATTTCACTATCAAACATTACCACTGAGCCATTTAAAAGGGCTGTGCCTAATTCACATCAATATCCTTAGTACTGAGAACAGTACCTGGTCCACAGTAGGAGCTCCAAGTTTTTTCCAAATAAATGTAAGACTGGCTATTAGCTATTTTTTTCTGGTCATTTCACTTGAATCTCTGCTTACTATCAGAAAACAAAGGAACATTTTTGGCAATTGCTATGTAAATGGGTTTATGATTCAGGAAGAAGCCAGAAATGTCCTTCATTTTTAAAAACGAGTCTACTTTTTTTCTTTTAGAAAGCAGCAGATAAGCAGGGTTTGCTGTGGTTTTGTTTTTACTGATTTCTCAGGAACATTATTACTCAGTCAAAATTTTTTAACTGTCAAAATATTTGAGAAGCTTCACTGAATGAATTACAAAGTGTCCTGGAAAATCTTGACACCTTGACCATAAATTCAACATATATTTCTTTCCATGTAAGTCTGATCATGTGGTATTTCTTTGGGTTTTGTGATTGAGTTTAATTTCTCAATATCCTATTTGTTATGTTACACATTCAATATCTTCTCTGCTTGCTAATTTTTAATCCTTACTGACATTTGTTTATTATCAAGCCCAGCATTTACGAGTTCCTTGTAAAAATGTTACAGCTATAGGTGAAAATGGATCAGCAGTTTTAATGGTCCTATCCGGATCTTGAAAGTGAAAGCAGACTTTTAATAACTGGAAGCATGACAATTCTTTTGGTATCTTTTGGAGGAATCTCCTAACAAAGTCTTTAAAGAAAAAAACAAAGATACTGGTCAAGTACCAAGCATTCTTTTTTCTCTTCTTGTTCATGTACGATCCTAAGTGGCAATTATGTTATGCTTTTATAAATATCTAAACTAAAAATACACTACTAATGTTTTAAATAGTATAGCAAATATTTACCATCTGTTAAGTAGCCCTGAACTGAACAGTTAATGAAGAGTATTTACTTAAAGTGACAAGAGGTAATTTTTAGGTAACAAATTATATTTTGTTTTTGAAATCCTAGTGAATAGTCTCAATTGTAACTCAGCAGAGATTTCATTACTCTTTGAACATCATTTGGTAGCCATTACAGGTCAAAGTTTCATGTTTTACGAATTGTTGTTCTAGCACATGGCTAAGCCTTGGAAAAGAGCATCAATATGGAACTGCAGAATCAGTTCACAATGTTAAAGCTGTCAAGGATCTCAGTTCGGTTAGTGCAGAGTTCTTCACTGTACACTACTGGCATTTTGGGTACGATAATCCTTTGTTGTGTTTGTTGTGTGTTTGTGTTGATGCCGTGTGCGTTTTAGGTAGCCTGTGGCATCTCTGGCCAGTTACACCCGTGCTCACAAAGCCCTTCCTTGTCCAGTGGCAAAAACCAAGAAAAAAGTCTTCAAACATTGTGAAATGTCCTTTGGGATGAGGGGTGGGGCAAAAGCACCCCTGGCTGAGAATCACTCGGTTGGGCTAGTCCAACTCTCCTCCCCACAGGTGACAAAACTCAAGTCCAGAAAGTTTGGGACTTTTGGGCCATACAGCTGGCTGAGAAATTAGCAGTAGAACCTATTAACAGTTAAGACTCCTATTCCAGTATTCTCATGCCACCTTGAAGCAGTATAGAGAGGTAACTGCTAGCATAGTGTGAACTGATTTTGTTTAAAGTCTTCAGTAATTGCACATGTTCAAAGTCATTGCAAAAAAGTCTGGCAGAAAGCTGTTTTTTTTTTCATGAGAAACCATTTCTAACTCTTCCTGTGATCTGGCGATGGGAGCTAAAATGAATTGTAGTCTTGACACCTATAAATTGCTCAGGCTTACTTGTCAGTGAAAGGCAGGAAGTTTGGTATGAAAGCAGAAAATTCAGAAGACTTTATTTTTTATCTCAAACAGTGATACTAACCCAGGCTGACTGAAGACGCTAAATCCAGTTTTCCGAAGGTTGCTTTCACTAAGGGACTTAATGGAACATCATTTGGCTGCAATGAATTTCTAGTTCCCATTTTTAGTGAATGGAATTTATACAAAGTGGTTACAAAATTTTTAAAGAAATTTATAATACTTTACTGTTTTGCCATGCCTCCAAAGTGAATGGTTTAACAGATTATAGAGTAGCACACAAGAACAGAGTTTATTGTGGAAGAGGATGAAAATGAAATTTTTATGAAACTACTGTATTTACTGATGTCTTTCAGGAAAAAGACAGTTAAATTATCCAACAATGTTCTTGCTTCCATCAGCTTCCATCATCTTTCACCCTGGAGACAAAATGCAACGTAAGGCAACACAGTAAATACTAAAAATTATGAAACTGAAGATGGCTGAAAAATTTACTAGATCTTCTGCAGTGGGATCAAGCTTCACTGTCTAAAACCATTTCTAAAACTGTCTTGAAGCGTAAACTCACAGTTTGGAACAAGTAGTTTGTCTGCAGGTATATAGTACTTGTGAGAACTCAAATATCTCATACTGAGAAAATCAAGAAATAGCTCTCAGTGTTAGGGAAAATGTGTTGGTGAAAACTGTGAACTCTATAGACAAGTACATTCCTTCCAAACTTCTGCACAAAGAGACCTGGCCAAACTTTAACATGGCCTTGAGCTGCCTGTGCCTGCATCCCCTGGATGACCCAACCCCATTTTGAGCTCAGACTTGGAAAAGCTCGTCTGTCAAAAGACATTTATTGTTTGTTCTAGCCAACACCCCGACCTCTTTTAGAGTACTTACTAAAAAGGGTTTACAATTGTGAATACTTCCTCTGTCCCTTTGAGATGTATGTGTACCTCCTACAACTCAGGAGTGTCTCTCTCAAGGATGTGAAAGCCATTCATTCGGAGTGTAGTCATCAAGAGGAAGGCTTCCGTCTCCGTGGGGAAACAGAATCCTCAGTTCCATAACTGCCAGCAAGCAGACACACCAAGCCTATTGCACTGACACTGCCAACCCTTTGTAATTTTGCACTTCCCTGACTCTACCTGGACCCCACCTCTCCCCTATTCCTTCATTTTCCCTTTAAAACCCCCAGTCACCTCTACAAATCGGAATGGAGCTCAGCTCTTTCCCTACTGTCAGTACCTACTGAATAAAATGTTTTCACCGCCCTGATGTCCCGCTTTATTATCTCTGACACTGGTAGATACACATTAAAACTCGGATCACTATCAAGACAGGCCTGTAAATCTTAGAGGCTTGTCTTATAGGGTGTTATCTCAAGAACCAAGGAAAACTCTAAAAGTGACCCCTAAAAACCTCACCCCCTTCTCTTCCCCCAGGGCCCCTGCAACTTTCAGCTCGCGTGTTTAGTGCCCACTCTCCCCAAATCCCTAGCCCACTTCTCCCCACGTGTGAGGTCTCTACTTTCCAGGATGGTGAATTTCACCCAGTGCAGGTCTACTCCCTTCCGTGTCTGGGGCCTTCTCTCCCCGGCTCTGTGGCCCGATCTCCGAGTTGTCCCCATCAAACCCCTCTCCCTGGCACTTCAGATCCACAGCCTCGGCCCGGCCGCCTCTCTCCCGCTCCAACCTCAGCTTCCCCGGCAGCTGAGGCGTCCCTTCTCCCTCCACGCTCCACGTGGGGGCCCTGGCGCCCCTTTCCCGGGGCGGCGGGTGGGAAGGGAAGCGCAGGGCCTCGGCTTGGGTCCCGGTCGGCCATTTCGCACTCCCCGGGCGCGCCCGGCCTCCACGGGGCGGCGGAGTCGAGGCGCTGCAGGCCGGGGCCGCTCCCGCCGCCGGGGCGGGAACTCACCTTCTCTGAGGCAGGGGCAGCCGTCTACAACTACTGTCCCCCTCCCCGCCAACGCCGCCGGCAGGGGACAGGCCGAGGTGGAGGTGGCGGAGGGGCAGGGACAACCGCTGCCACCACCGCCGCCTCCGCCGCCGCCAAACAGGCGGGGTGGGAGGAGGAGGCGGAGACCTGGCTTCCTGAGGGGAGGTCGCTGCCACCACGGCGGCGAGGCGCGCTACTGCGCTTGCGCAGTCGCCCCTCCCCAAAAGCCCCCATAGCCCCGCCTTCCCTCGAGCCCCGCCTTCCCTCGAGCCCCGCCTTCCCTCGAGCCCCGCCTTCCCTCGAGCCCCGCCTTCCTTCGAGCCCCGCCCCTCTCGCTAGCTTCGTCCGACCTCGCGCCTTTTTCTCCTGCGGTCCCTGCGACCCTCCGTTGGAGCGGAGGAAAAGCTCCTGGGACCGCTCGCCTCGGGAGAGTGACTCTAAAACCAAGTAAGAAAAAAAAGATGTGGAAATCTACTGATTCTACCTCCAAAATATCTGAAAGACACGTACTTTTCTGTTTTCCTTTTGTTAGAGCCTTTAATATACAGAGTAGATTAAGCAGAGTCCTTGGTCCTGGTATGTCATCATTGCTCCATAAATGACCTTTTCCCTCTCTCCTCCTGGCTCTTTCAGTGTCTGTGTGTATGCATACACACAAGTTCATCTCATCCTCTCATTCCCCGTTTCCCAAAGAAGTCACAGCCCCGGTTTGTAGTCACCATTTCCTTTCACATGTGTATCTCTTTATCACATATATGCGTGGTGCAAAAAAAAAGTTTGGCTTGTTTTTGAATTTCATAAGATATATGTCTTTTTCTAGCAGTATTCTGAGACTTGTTTTGCTCAACGTTTTGAGGTTCATCCAAGCTGTTGCATATGCGTGTTACTTATTCGTTTCACTGCTGTGCAGTATTCCGCTCCATTTTCCCGTTGATGGGTGTGTCCCCGGGTACACAGTGCAAAAGTTTCTCTAGGGTGTGCTGTCTTTTCCTGTCACACTACCATTGCCTAATTTCAGGTTCTCGTCATGGTTTTGTTAGAACCATGGTAATTGCTGCCTAATTTATAATCCTTTCTCGGATTTCACCACTCCAGTCTACCCTCCACACGGCGAAAGGATTCTATCAAGAAGTCATTTCTGGCTCCCCAATGTCCTTTCGAGAAAGTCAAACATGAATACTGCTCCTGGGCTTCTGGGCACCTCCCTGAACTCATTATCTCCTACTGTTCTCACCTCCCCACCCTGCTTTCACTTTACGATTCCCCAACATTGAACCTTCATTGATTCCTGTAAATACTGAGCTATTGCATAACTCAATTTATTGTATCTGCTACTTCTTCCTGAAATGTCCTCTCCCTACTTCCTGATGAACTTTGTCTCCCCTCGGAAGTAAATATCATCCTAAATTCAGCATTTCTCATTCTCATGCATTTCTTCGTATTTTTTTTACTACATATGTATGTATCCCTAAGTAACGTGAAGTATTGCCTTGCGTGATTTTAAACTTTACATAAATGTTATTATACATACTGTTTATTCCCCTGCAAGTGGCTTTTTTCACTCATCATTATATTTTTATATTAACTTCTGCTGAGATGTGAGGTTCTAATCTATTACCTTTCACAACTCTGTAATATCCATTGAATGAATGCACATGAGCTATCCATTCTCCTATCGTGAGACTTTGAGCTTGTTTCCCATGTTTGCTCTTACAGACAGCGTTGCTGTAACATTCTTGTGCAGTCTCCTTGTGCATACATGTGAAAGTTTCTCCGGGGTTTATACTTAGGAGATGCTGCTGCTTTTTAAGTAGAAGGTTGCAATAATGCCCACCTGAAAGGGTGCTGTGAAAACATACGAGGTAATGCAAATAAAGCACCATTTCAAGCACTCAAACATTTATTCTTGCTGTTAGAAGACCAAATGTATATGAAACACTGGAACCTAACATGCAATAATTGGGTGCCAGAATGCTTAACAGAATTGTAACACATGGGCTTCTGTAGCTCCCAGAATACCCAACCAATTATAATTGTCTATGTGTGTTATGCTCTTTCTTTCCCTCCACATCTCTGCTCATGTTGTTGTGTCCTGGGGCCTGAAATGGTCTCCTGAAGTTCTGGTTCTCTCCCTCCCCATTTATCTTTGTCTGCCACTTCCCCGAAGCCTTCCCTGACTCATCTGTCTACCCCAGATACTGTCTGCTCTTTGCTTCCTTTATCTCTCTCACCATCCTTACATACTCTTTCATCATCCTCTCTAAATGGTCCATGTCTTAAAGACAGGGTCTGCATTTTAATCGTCTTTGTACTGAGGCACTGAGGATACTGCCTGATACATGGGCTGATCAATGCATGTGGAAGGAGTGAATTTAGGAATTCTTCAGAGGAAAGCAATTTGCAGCAGAGGATTTTTAGGAGCCAAAGGAAGAAAGATGGAAGCATGCATGCTATTTTAGAACACAGAGACGAGAGAGAGGGGGCAAAGTTCTGTGATGTGATGTAATTATGCAGAATATAATGGACTGTGCAGGAGGGAATCTGCCCTGTCATTCTGGAATGTGAGTGCTAGAATGCCCAAGAACTTCTTTGATCCTGTGATTATGAAATAAATGAATGAATCAGCCAGTGGATGCACTTAAACCAGTGAGCAACCCCTGGCTTATTTCACACAGCTAGACATTGAGCTATTATTAGTCTAAAGTAGGATTGGCCTTTTTTGTAAAAGGCCAGACAGTAAATATTTTTGACTTTCTGGGCCATATGGTCTTTGTTGCAGATATTCAGCTCTGCTGTTGTACTGTGAAAGCAGCCAGAGAACATATGTAAACAAGTGAGTATGGCTGTTTTCTAGTAAAATTTAATTATTGTCGCTGAAATTTGCATTTCATGTAATTTTCATGTGTCACAAAGTAGTCTTCTTTTGACTTTTCCCCTCGACAATTAGAGAACGTACAAACCATTCTTAATTCACAGGCCCAAAGGACCCTTGTTGACTCCTGGCCTAAATGAACCTTAGCTCTTGGGTACAAAGGAAGGAGTGGTATAGGGCTGTGCTTTAAAAAAGGCCTTAGAAAAAGCTTTAAAACCTTGCAGCTCCCTTGATTTGCCAGTAGGTGGCAGTCCCTGCAGGTGTGTGACTCAGTAAGTCTTGGAATGGAAGGGATGATTGGAGTTTTTCCAGAACGTGGTAGATCAGCCCCTGCGATATTAACACGAACTGTGTCAGTGATTCAGAACCATTATTCTGGGTTTTATTTCCGTCTCCACCTTCACACTTATTTGTACATATTCCCTGAATTGCAATATATCCAACTGAAGGTCACGTAATCACTTTCTCAAGGCCTCTGAGATTATTTGCTCAAAGGTTCAGGATAATACTATGAACACAGGATATGGTTAAATATTTGAGGGCTGCAACATGGAATCTGGGTACAGATTCCACCCGAGATGAAGGTTAAGCAATGGGGCTGACAGTAAGGGATACTTGAAGCCTCTGTCTAGTTTTGCAATGATATGCTAATAGTTCTCTCCAAAACAGCGCCACTCTGGGGCTCTTCATGTCACCTTCTACCTTTAAGGTGCACGACTGGGGACCCAGCATGACCCTTGCTTTGCATATGTTGCAAGAGTTTCCCCACACCTTTAGGGTGTGGGGGTACTGCTTCGTAGCCATTAATGTCCTTGGCGTGTGTGTGGCCTCAGGTGGGAGGGAAGGTCAGCTGAAACAGAGGTAGACGGAACCACAGTGGTCATTCTTGTCACCTCCTTGTCTGGAATTTCCCAGCTCAGACCACTCTCCTGGACCAGGACTCCTTTAACTTGAGCAGTCTCATTTTTCTGCCTTTCTCACCACCTTTCTTTATCCAGACACACAAAAAAGAGACTGGACGGCTATTAAAATTATTAACAATGGAAAACGTTTCCATCTTCTGGGAGCAGAAAGAGCTCACCATGATTGTGAAGGTCTGTGAAGCTGAAGTTTATGATCTGAACCACTCCACCCCTTTGCCACGTGGTTGTGTCCACTCTGGCCCCTCGTTTGACCTCTCAGGAAACGCGGAATCAATCTACTTCGTTTGTACTTTGACGAGTGACACTGAAGAAAGCTCTTGTGTCCTTCTTGAATCTTTTCTTCCCTGGTTAAACGTCTCCAACAGGGCAATAAGAAATCTTTCCAAAACCCTAGACGTGCTTTTCCTGATGACAAAGACCAGCACTTCTTAATGGACATCTTAGAAATGTGGGGGGAACTTTTGGTTGTCAGAATGACTGTGGGATGCTATTGGCATACTGTGGACAGGGACAGGGCCACCAAGAAAGGTTTGGATCCCAGTGGGGAAAAAAAAAGAGCTGGAGCAGGGCAGATGGACAAAAAACTTATACACAGGATTTGTGTTGCTATGTAATAGAGCAGGGCCCTGTCTCCCTTCCCCGCCACCAGCCTGGTAACTAGATCCAACATCCCTGTCTCACTGGTCCTGGCCAGAGATGCTAGATGTCCTGGGGAGCAAGGGACAGCCTTGTGCATTAAAGATTCTCTGCCCGATATATTGGGAGGGAACCCTAATTCGAAAAGATACATGCACCCCAATGTTCATAGCAGCACTATATACAATAGCCAAGATGTGGAAGCAACCTAAATGTCCATCAACAGACAATTGGATAAAGAAGTGCTGGTATATTTATACGATGGAATACTACTCAGAGATAAAAAAGTATAAAATAATGCCATTTGCAGCAACATGGATTGACTTGGAGATTGTCATTCTAATTTAAGTAAGCCAGAAAGAAAGAAAAATACCATATGATATTACTCATATGTGGAATCTTAAAAAAAAAGAAAAAGAGAAAAGAGGACACTAATGAACTCATCTACAAAAGAATTATAGTCACAGACATAGTAAACAATCTTATGGTTACCAGGGGAAAGGGGATGGGAAGGGATAAATAGGAGTTTGAGATTTGCAAAGGTTAACCACTACATATAAAAATAGATAAAAAACAAATTTCTTCTGTATAGCACAGGGGACTATATGCAGTATTTTGTAATAACCTTTAGTGGAAAAGAATATGAAAACAAACATATGTATATATGAGCATGACTGGGACATTATGCGGTAGAGAAATTGACATGTTGTAACTGACTATACTTCAATTAAAAAAAAAAGATTAATCTTCAAAACAAAAAAAAGTCTCTCTGCCCGCCTACACATCCTCAAATACCCAGATGTGCATTTCACGGACGTAAAACCTTGTTTCTAATCATCTGGGTGTAGGACTCTGTTTTACGTAATCATAGAGTAATTTCTGTAAAGTTTTAATGTACACTAAATTTTCCAGGAATGTAGCTTCTTATTAACTGAAGGAAGATTATACTTTCTTTCATTCAGAACTTGACTAAGAGTGATGTACCATGTCAGAAAATCAGATCACAGACAACAATGCGTGGTGTGGTGTCTGTGTCTCCAAAACCAATCTGCAGTTTTACCTCTCAGTATCACAGTGATTCTACTCAGAGGCGCACACATCTGGCCACTGGGTCAGTTCTTCTAGTGTAGTTGTACCCAAGCTCATGTCTAGTGACCACATTGACATATTTAGTTTACAGTGAATATATATTGTTTTGTTATAGTTAACTTTTGTTTTGCTTCTCCCTTGTTAGGTTAGGTCAGTGTCTTAGTCTGTTTGGGTTGCAGTAACAAAATACCACAGGTTGGGTAGCTTATAAACAACAGAAATTTATTTCTCGCAGTTCTGGAAGCTTGAGGTCCTAGATCAGGGTGCTAGCACGTTTGGATGATGGCTCTCTTCCAGGACACAGAGTTCTCCTTGTGACTCACATGACAGAAGAGAGGGGCCTACGGAATCTCTCTGGAGCTTCTTATAAGGCCCTAGTCTCATTCATAAGGATTCCACCTTCATGACTGAAATGCCTCCCAAAGGCCCCACATACTGATACTGTCACCTGTGGGGGTGAGGCTTTTAACATGTGAATTTTCGGTGGAGAGAAAAACACTCAGACTGTAGGAGTTGGTAATTTATGTGTTTTAGATATAAGTACTAATAAATTATATTATGTATGAATTTCATTTCAGAGCAGCAAAAGAAGTATTGTTTAATATTTCCTACAACAGGAAACTAAGGAGAATACTTTATGTGGTAGTCCCCTATTGCTGCCGTAACAAATTACTTAGTGGCTTAAAATAACGTAGATTTATTATCTCACGGTTCGGCGGTCAGAAGCCAGAAATGGGGTTCACTGGCTTTAAATAACAGTGTCGTCAGGGCCACCCTCCTGGGGACTCTGGAGGGAGCAGCTGTTCCCCTGCCTTTTCCAGTTTCTAGGGGGTACCTGCATTTCTTTGCTCATAGGACCTTCCTCCAACTTCAGAGCCAACAATGTAGCATCTTCAAATGTCTCTGTGACTTGGACTCCTTGCTTCCATTGTTACATCTCCATCTCTGACTCTTAGAAGGAGTCTTACGATTTCACCCAGACAATCCAGAATTAACCTCCCTCTCTTAAGCTCCTTAACTTAATCACACTTACAAAGTCCCTTTTTTCATATATGGTAACATAGTCATAGGTCTGGGGGGGTGGGACCTGGACATCTTTGGGAGACTATTCTGTTTATCACACTTTAATAGTTCTTGTTCTGATAGGGTTGAGACTCACAGTTAAAACTAAGGCACTGCTCCCTCTCTCTTTCTGACTTGGGGCAGGTAGATTTCTTCCTTGACCTTGGCTTGGGCTGCACCTGTTCCCCGGCTACCGTGTCTAGAGAAGAACAGCCTAACCCACCAGGCTGAGTTGCTGGCTCCCGAGGGAGGACTCTGGCTGTTGTCATGCTCTGCGGGTGCAGGCATTACTTTGAAGCTAACCTGAAGAACCCCTGTTAAAATCAATTTTTTTCCCTTGAGAGCATATGATGTTTACTTTTTGGAGCACCCAGCTTTAATTGTCTTAAGTTGTTCTGCTGTTCAAGATACATCAGAAGGCACTGAGTTATTTTTTAGCTCCAAGAACTATGTGTTATGACCTAAAAAATTCAGGATATATGTTCTGACAGAGGATTTTTGAGCTGCTTCTGAAAGTCAAAGAAATTTCAGGAGATGCAATTTGGTTGAAGACATGTTAGAATTTCTAGCCTATCCTATCTTGATAGTTTGGGGAAGATAATGTGACAGGATAAATGAGATAAATTTGCCAACATTTACTAAGTTCAGTATGAGGTGCCAAGTGTCATGCTGTGCCCTTTGTACATGTTAGCTCATTGATCCCTCTCTACAATAAAGTGAGGTAGAAATGATCACCCTTGTTTTACAGGTTCGATCTCAAAGTTGCTCTAGTAGGCTTAGAATTCAAATGCAGATCTATCTGCCTCAGAAGCCAGTGCTTGTGAACTACTACACTCACGGAAACCCCGAGCACAGAAATCCATAAATAGATGCATCCCAGAAACTAAAAATGTTACCTGGAAGATAAGCCATAGCTCTGTATCTGCAAGTGTCTTTCTTTTCAACCTCGGTGAGAGCTGGCTGCCTGGAGACCAAGAAGAGTGACATTTACAACTGATAAGTGCCAGAGAGGGTCTGGAGAAAAGAGGACCCTTCTACACTGTTGGTGGGAATATAATTTGGTGTAGCCACTACGGAAAAGAACATGCAGATTCCTTAAAAAACAAAAATAGACTTACTCTCTGATCCAGCAATCCTGCTCCTGGGTACATGTCCAGAGGAGACTCTGATTCGAAAAGACACATGCACCCCAATGTTCACAGCAGCACTATTTACAATAGCCAAGATGTGGAAGCAACTTAAATGTCCATCAACAGATGAATGGATAAGGAAGTTGTGGTATATATATACACACACACACATACAAAGTAATGGAATACTGCTCAGCCATATAAAATTATAAAATAATGCCATTTGCTGCTACATCGA